TTTTTTTTTTTTGGTGGTGCTGGGGATTGAACCCAAGGCTTTTTGTATGGGAGGCAAGCACTCTACCAAGTGAGCTACATCCCGAGCCCAAGAAATGCACTCAGAAAGATAAACACTGGGTCTGGGTCGGGGGTTGTGGCTCAAGCGGTAGTGCGCTCACCTGGCATGTGCAGGGCACTGGGTTCGATCCTCAGCACCACATAAAATAAAATACAGATGTTGTGTCCACCAAAAACTAAAAAATAAATATTAAAAAATTCTCTCTTTCTCTCTCTTTAAAAAAAATTCATTTTATATATTTCACTATATAATCAATAAGTAATTATATATATGTACATATACATATGTACATATATGTGTGTTTGTATACACACTTTATTTTTAAAATATTCATTATTTATTTATTTATGGTCAATATTGGGGATTGAACTCAGGGGCACTCTGTCACTGAAGTACATCTTACCCCTTTTTATTGGCTAAGTTTTCCAGGCTGGCCTCTGGAGACTCCTGCATCACTGGGATTAAAGGTGACATGCTTCATAACTTCTTTTTTTTTCTTTCTTTAGTGCTGGGCATCAAACCCAGAGCCACATGCATGCTAGGCAAACACTCTACCACCAAGTTACATCCCCAGCTCATGCTTCATAATAGCAAAATGGGTACACCAGCTATGTGGAAATCAGGTATATTCCAAACCCACTAATAAGGTGAAGAAAATGATCAAATGATAGCAGGAAAAAAAGATGAGGAGATTTTAAAAAAAAGAACAAAGCTAAAGAGGAAGAAAAATATTATAAGAAAATGCAAGGGCATGGAATCCAGCAAAAAGGCTAGTTTAGATGGCTCAGGAGAGCTGAGAGCCAGGTCTTAGAGCTAGGTAACTATTGAAGGGCCCCAAAGATCATGTGGGGCACATAGAACCTGTAGCAAGCTAGGCAAGAGTCAGGTTTCTTATATACAATATGTATGCAGTAGGGACCTTCTGTTTTAGTGACAGAAAGACGGATCATAATGTGATTTCACCAGTGGAATAATACCCTAATAATTTTACATTTTTACTTAATTTAGAATTTTGTTTCTCACTACCAAGATCACAGTGGTTTCACATATTATATTTTCTCAAATCATTCCAGAGACACATGAAGAAATTAATAATAGTTTTCCTTTTGTTTTAAAATTGTATCTCTAAAAGACACAAACAAGCCAAGTTAAATTAGATCAGAATTTGGGGTTTCTCTTATAAATAGCACTTTATTTTAATTGAGCTTTAAAATAAAAAAAGTTTAAAAAAATCTAAAAATTTTCATCTGGTCTGTCAGTTGTATCCATTGGATGGTTAGGAGTTTGGCATGACTAATTTCTTTACAGTTCATTTACTAAATGACACCATATAAAAGCAAGCACTGCTGAAAAGGATGTGCTTGTTTCCAAATTTCAACTCATTGTAGACTGACTGCATTATATTGGTCCTTGTCTAACCATTTTATGGTGCAAGAAGGCATTAACCACATATATATGTTAAAGACTTCTTGGATTATTCTCACATTGGCAAGAGCCAGAAAGACTAGAGGAAGCCCAGAGAGGTTATTATTCTGGCCACCCAGAAGGATCAGGATTTTATAATCCTGATTAAGATAAGATTTATTAACCATCCTACCCCAAGATGGAGATGCTTATTCTTATAAAATAACTTAACCTTTCCTATCCAACCACTAGATAATGTTTGCTGAAAACTAACCAGCTCCCAGAGTTGAGAATGCTAATTAACTAAGCTCAGTAGGGTTGCTTCAGAATGAAAACAACTGAATATTGAGATTCAAACCTTGAAAATTCAAAGAAGACCCAGAAATTGTGGTTTAGGTTGACATGTTATTGATAGTTTTTCAGGAGTTTTCTCGAGTTCATCTAATTTGTCCAATTTATAGACCTAAAGATGTTTGTAATATCCCCTCACTGTCCTTTTAATATGTGTAAGGTCTGTACTCCTTTGACAACTATTGGGCTGAATGAGTACAACTTGTATGATAGAGAAAAGGGGATTGGGGTTTTTGAGCCTGCTCTGAGAAACTATTTGAAGGCATAATTTTTCAAGAAACATTTCTCCCACCTCAGCCAAGAAATGCAGATGAGGCAAGGGGTGGGGTAGGGGAGAGAAAAAGAAATGGAATTTTTTATGGTCCTAGTGGTGGGGCTGTTGGTCCGATTAGCTGCCCATTTGTCTGCAAGCTGCTTTCTCCTCCCATTCTGTGCTCCCTGCCATCACAGTGCAGCTGCTGCCCAGGAAGCATGAGGAAGAGACTCCCTCTGGAGCTGATGGCAGTGGCACTTGGAAAGTGCTGGCAGGGGGTGGGCTATAAAAAACAATTTGGTCTGGGAACAAAAGGCATCAATCACAGCAGCGTCATCAACCTTTGATTTGGACAGGAGAAGAGAACTTTCTTGAGTCAGAAGCAGAAAAGGAACACTTTATTTAGTCATCTCCTTCTTCTAGTGGACTAAATGGTCTAATTAAATTAATAGGAAAGTTAATGCATTAATTCTGGAGCACCACAAAGATCTCTCTCTCTCTCTCTCTCTCTCTCTCTCTCTCTCTCTTTCTCTTTTTTAGTCATATCCTTTGGTGAAGTAGGATAAAGCTATCTCATTTACAGTCTATATCCGAAGTTGCCAGAGTCACTGAATTCTACATTTAGGAGTTAACTTCTCTGTTAAAGGCCCTCATAAGCCTGGAAGTTTCTTTTTTATTTTATTTTTTTAAAATATTTATTTATTTATTTATTTTAGTTTTAGGCGGACACAACATCTTTGTTTGTATGTGGTGCTGAGGATCGAACCCGGGCCGCACGCATGCCAGGCGAGCGTGCTACCACTTGAGCCACATCCCCAGCCCCTGGAAGTTTCTAACTTAATTAACTTTTTGGAAAGTAATTATGGATCTTAAATGAAAGGTACAAAGTTAGTATAGGAAATATTCTCAGAGAGGAGACTAACATAATAAAGAACCCAAGGAAAACAATTGAAGTTATAGAAGTAGCAAACTGAGAAGAAATGGCCACCTCTTAATCAAAAGTCAAAGCTTAATCTAAATAGTTCTTATAGTTAACTGCCTAAGAAAAGTGATAGTATTTCAGAGTTGGGAAAGTATGTCTCAAGTATCTGTGACACTTTCAAATCATGCTGGTCTACGACATCCTTAACCCAGACAGACAATCTATTGCCTTGGGCTGTCTTCTGATGTAGGCAGTATCTCATTCTTTAAAACTTCCCTAACTAGAAAATGAGGTAGAAATGCCCAGCTAGACATGTATCATATTTCTTGGCCAAGTATATGAAGAAGCCTGGAAAGAAGGGGCCTCTAGATGTTACCTTAGATCTAAGCTTCTAAAGAAGTAGAGAAATATGTAAATTTCCATTTAGTTCTAAATTGCAAAAAAAGCTGCATGTTTGCTTACTTGTTTCTTTGGATCTTTTTAATTTGAATCCTGGAGAAAGAAACTAAATTAAGTGATGTATCTAGCTTAATAAGAATACCACACTATAATTCAGTGTGAGAAAAATGCATTAATGCATCCGTACTTAATGAGAACAAATGTGTGTATAGTACTTTATAAATAATAACATTTACCTGGATATCCTTCTAAATCTGGTACACATATATACTTTTTGTCCTCTCAGAGCAAATGTTCAAACACAGGGCCTCGAGCATGCTAGGCAAATACTCTACCACTAAGCTGCATCCCCAACTCTTTTTATTTAATTTTTAGTTGTAGATGGATACAATACCTGTAATTAATTAATGTATTTATTTTTTATGTGATGCTGAGGATCAAACCCAGTGTCTCACACATGCTAGGTAAATGCTCTACCACTGAACTACGACCCCAGCCTCTGTTCTTACTTTTTATTTTGAGAAAGAATGTCACTAAATTGTTGAGGCTGGCCAAGCATTTGCCATCTTCTTGCCTCAGCTTCTTGAGTTGCTGGGATTATGGTTGTATACCACTGTGCCTGGTATTTACCCCTAAATATTTTAGAGTTCATTACCTAAAAATAATAACATTCTCCTTTTAATAATTTGCAATTATTTCTTAATGTTATCTACTATTTAAATATCTAAATCTCTTTGTCCTCTAAATGTTGTTTATAGTTTTTAATTTGTTTTTTTTTTTGTTTTCTGGTAGTAGGTTGTGCAGCATTCCACCACTGTGTATATCCCCAGTCCATATAGAATTTTTTAAAAAATCATAATCCTGTCAAGATTTACTCATTACATTTAATCATCTTTTTAATATCTTTTAAACTAGAACAGTTTTCCCTATCTCCCCCCTTTTTTTTTTCTTTCTTATTTTTTTCTTAACTGGGGATTGAACCCAGGGGCCTTCTACCATTGAGCCACATCTGCAGTCCTTTTTTTAAATTTTATTTATTTTTAGTTGTAGACAGACACAATACCTTTATTTTGTTTATTTATTTTTATGTGGTGCTGAGGATCGAACCCAGTGACGCACACATATGTGAGGCAAGCGCTCTACTGCTGAGCCACAACCCTAGCCCCATATCTGCAGTCCTTTTTATTTTTTTATTTTTAGACTGAGTCTCACTAAGTTGCTGAAGCTGATCTCAAACTCGCAATCCTCCCATCAGCCTCCTGAGTTGCAGAGATTATGGGCATGTACCATAGTGTGCAGCTTGGTTAAGATAATTGCTTTTGTGTCTTTTAATCTAGAATAGTTCTTTCTATTTCCATTTTCTTTTTCTTTCCCCCCTTGGGCCTTACTCATGCTTGGCTACCAGAGATGTATCCCCAGTCCTTTATAAATTTTATTTTGAGATAGGAAGCTCATTAAATTGCTAAGGCTGCCCTTAAACTTGCAATTCCTCCCACCTTAGCCTTCCAAGTCACTGGGATTACAGGTGCATGCCACCATGCTTATTTTAAAGAAATAAACCCTTAGGAATAAGATTTCTTTTTAATTTCTTTTCTTTATTTATTTCCTTTTTGTGTGGTGCTAGGGATTGAACCCAGGACCTTACACATGAAATAAGCAATGAATAAGGTGGTAGTTTTTTTTTTTGTTGTTTTTATTTTTGTTTTTTAAAGCAGAAGCAGAAGCTTTTGCAATAAGATAGTTCATGATTTGTTCTTTGGAGGATTTTGAGGCTCTTCTGCAATTATATGATGATAATCAAATTTGGGTTTATTGGGATTATTCTGCAGCAACCAATCAGCTAGCCAAATCTATGGAAGAAAAGAAAAAAAAAATCTTAAGTTAAACACTTAAATATTTCTTTCTAATACATACTATATTAATTAGAAACTTAGTTTTCAATATCACTTTAAGGAAATGACCATTAAAAATCAAAACACTATGATTTACATTATGCAAAATTGTAAAGTATATGTCAAAATTGGAAAAGAAGAAGTAAAATTGTTCATAGATAGCATAATCCTACTTAAAAAAAAAAAAACAAAACTCAAAGAATTCATGAAAGTGAACAGAAGGTTGCATAGCTCAGTGGTAGAGACAGCATGCTTACCATATGCATGCCTAGCATTTGATCTTCAGTACTATTTTAAAAAGAAAAGGAAACAAAGCAAAATAATAGACCCCCATATCTTTCTCTCTCTCTCTCTTTTTTTTTTTTTTTTTCCTTTTTGGTACCAGGGATTGAACTCAGGGGCACTCAATCACTGAGCTGCCACATCTCCAGCCTTATTTTGTATTTTATTTAGAGACAGGGTCTCACGGAGCTGCTTAGCACTTAGTTTTTGCTGAGGCTTTGAACTCCTCCTACTTCAGCCTCCCAAACCGCTGGGATTACAGGCGAACACCATGGCGCCCAGCAAGACCCCATCTCTTTAAAAAAAAAAAAAAAAAAAAGAGCTGGGTACTGCCGTCTGTTTATAATCCCAGGATTTGGGAGGCTGAGTCAAGAAGATTACAAATTTGAAGCTGGCCCTAGCAAAATAGTGAGGTTCCAAGCAACTAAGTGAGGCCCTGGTTCAAAATAAAAAAGGGCTGGGGGTGTAGCTCAGTGGTAAATCACCACTGGGTTCAAGCTCCAGTACCAAAATAAATAAATAAGTAAATAAATAAATGAACAAAACAACAAAGACAGACATAGAAGTTTAGTTGTAAATTTCCCCAAGCGCATTCCCATATCCAAAAGCATAATTAATGCCTACAGTTCAGATAGTGTAGTTTAAAAAGTTACAAAGAGGGGGCTGGGGATGTGGCTCAAGCATAACATGCTCGCCTGGCATGTGTGGGGCACTGGGTTCGATCCTCAGCACCACATAAAAATAAAATAAAGATGTTGTGTCCACTGAAAAATTTTAAAAAAAGTTACAAAGATATAATTATATTAATAATTATTTGCTTTTAATACAAATGTTCAATACAAGGGATTTTTTTTCAATGATGGGGCTCAAACCCAGGCGCCCGCCCCCCCCCCCCACCATGCATAAGAGATGATTTCTTTTTTCTTTTGGTACCAGGGATTGAACCCAGGAGCGCTTAACCCCTGAGCCACATCCCCATCCCCTTTTTTATTGTTTTATTTTGACATAGGATCTCACTAACTTGCTGAGGCTGGCATTGAACTTGTGATCCTCCTGCATCAGCCCCCTGAGCTGCTGGGATTACAGGTGTGCACCTCTGTACCTGGCATAAGAGGTGATTTTAACTATTTCCAAAAATAAATCCATACATCTGTGGCCAATTTACTTTTTAAAAATATTTTTAGTTGTCTCTTGACCTTTATTTTATTTATATGTGGTGCTGAGACTCAAAACCAATGTCTCACACTACATCCCCAGTCCCAATTTTGACAATGGTACCAATTCTACTCATACAGAAAGAATAATTGCTTTAAACAAATGGTACTGTGACAACTAGGTTTCTATATGTAGAAGAATGAAATTGGACCCTTACCTCACAATACATATAAAAGTTAACTCCAAATGGATCGATGACTGACCTAATTATAACAACTAAAAACTAATAAAATCCTGAAAACAAATGGGCAAAATTTCACAGCCTTGGATTTAGCAATAGAATCTTATATATAATAGTAAAAGCCCCAAAACACAAAAGAAAAACTTGGACTTTATCAAATTTGAAAAACTTTCATACTTCAAAGGATATAATTAATTAAGAAAGTGGAAAGACAATTTACAGATTGGGAGAAAATATTTGCAAATCATGCATCTTATAAATATTTAATATCTGGAAATATTTTTTAAAAACCCTATAATTCATCAAAATAACCCAATTAAAAAATAGACAAAGAACTCGAATTTTTTTTTGATGGGATGGGTACTAGGGATTGAACTCAGGGGCACTCAACCACTGAGCCACATCCCCAGCCCTATTTTGTATTTTATTTAGAGACAGGGTCTCACTTAGTTGCTTAGTGCCTAGCTTTTGCTGAGCCTGGCTTTGAACTGCAGTCTTACTGTCTCAGCCTCCCTTGCAGATGGGATTATAGGCATGGGCCACTGCGCCCAGCAAGTACTCAAATTTGAATAGGCATTCAAATAAGGTATACAAATGGCCAATTAGTTCATGAAAAGATATTCAACATCATTAATCATTAGGAAAATGCAAATCAAAATCAAATGAAGGTCTGGGTTTGTGGCTCAGTGGTAGAGTGCTTGTCTCTCATGCATGAGGCACTGGGTTAGATCCTCAACACCACATAAATAAATAAAACAAAACAAAAGTATTGTGCCCATCTACAACAACAACAAAAAAGTCTTAAAAAAAAAAATCAAATGAAAACCACGCCTGGTGGTGGACATCTGTAATTCCAGTTACTCTGTAGGCTGAGATGGGACAATTGCAAGTTTGAGGCTAGCTGGGCAATCTAGCCAGATCCTGTCTCAAAATAAAAAAATAAAAAGGACTGGGAATGTAGCTCCAGTACTGCAATCACTAATACTATAAAACAAAATAAAAAAGAACATAAAAAATTGTGTTAAGTGGGGGCTGGGGTTGTAGCTCAGTGGTAGAGCGCTTGCCTCTCACTTGCATGAGACACTGGGTTTGATCCTCAGCACCACATTAAAAAATCTTATAAATAAATAAGAAAACCAATGCACTAATTCTTTTTTTTTTGAGAGAGAGAGAGAATTTTTTAATATTTATTTTTTTTAGTTTTCGATGGACACAACATCTTTATTTTATTTTTATGTGGTGCTGAGGATGGAACCCAGTGCCCCGCGCATACCAGGCTAGTTTGCTACCGCTTGAGCCACATCCCCACCCCAATACACTAATTCTTAAAAAAAAAAAAAAATGTTATAAGTGAACTAAGCCACCACAAAAGAACACATATTGCATGATTCCACTTATATGAAATAAATACAACAACTTGATAGAGACAGGAAAAAAAAAATAGAAGATACCAGTTGAGAAAAAGAAGAGAATGGAGAATAATTGCTTGATGGTTATAGAATTTCTGTTTGGAATAATGAGAACATTTTGGAAATAGGTAGTTAGGTAGTGGTAAAGGTTGTACAACACTGTAAATATAATTAATGCCACTGAATTGTTCACTTAAAAAAGTTAAAATGGATGGGCTGGGATTGTGGCTCAGCGGTAGAGCACTCCCCTAGCACTGGTGGGACCCAGCTGATTCTCAGCACCACATTAAAAAATAATAATAATAAATAAAATAAAGGCATTGTGTTGTGTCCATCTACACCTAAAAAAAAAAAAAGTTAAAATGGGGGCTGGGGTTGTGGCTTAGTGGTAGAGTGCCTGCCTCGCACATGTGAGACACTGGGTTCAGTCCTCAGCACCACATAAAGATATGTCCATCTACAACGAAAACAAATATTTTAAAAAAAATTTAAATGTCAAATTTTATGCGTATATAAATTATATATATTACACCACAGTAAAAATTAAAAATCAGGTATATACAAAAGTAGTGAAAATAGTGTTAAAAGTTATTTTGGGGGGTGCTTGTTAAAACTATTGATCAAGCTGGGTGCTGAGGCATATGCCTATAATCCTAGCAGTTTGGGAGGCTGAGGCAGGAAGGATTGTGAGTTCAAAGCCAGCATCAGAAAATTTAGTGAGGCCCTAAGTAACTTAGTGAGACTCTGTCTCTAAATAAAATATTTTAAAAAAGGGTTGGGGATGTGGCTCAGGGTTAGTTAAGTACCCCTGGGTTCAATAACCAGTACCAAAAAAAACCAAAAACAACAACAACAAAAACTACAGGTCAATGGAGCAGAGTACAGAATTTATTATGTGATTAAATCAAACTTTACAAATCAATGTACAAGGACAGTTGGTCAGGAAAATAATCAATATGCATCTTCATTTTGTGTTATATGCAAAAATAAATCCAATGCAGGATAAAGTCAAACATAAAAACTCTAGGACTGGGGATGTGGAAAGCACTTGCCTACTATATGTGAGGCCCTGGGTTCCATCCCTGAGAAAACAAAACAAAAATTCTAGAAGAGGGCTTGGAGATGTAGTTCAGTTGGTAGAGTGCTTGCCTAGCATGCACAAGGTACTGGGTTTGATTCTCAGAATTGTAAAAAGTAAAATAAAGAATTAAAATTGTGGCGTACACCTGTAATCCCAGCGGCTCAGGAGGTGGAGGAGGCAAGAGGATTTCGAGTTCAAAGCCAGCCTCAGCAAAAGTGAGACACTAAGCAACTCAGTAAGACCCTCTCTCTAATAAAATACAAAATAGGGCTGGGGATGTGGCTCAGTGGTCGAGTGCCCCTGAGTTCAATCCCTGGTACAAAAAAAAAAAAAAAAAAAAAGAATTAAAATTGGGGCCTGTGGCTGTGGCTCAGTGGTAGAGAGCTTGCCTAGCACATGTGAGGCACTAGGTTCGATCCTCAGCACCACATAAAAATAGATCAAATGAATGTATTGTGTCCACTTACAACTAAAAAAAAAAATTATTTTAAAGAATTAAAATTTTAAATTTTCTTCCCCCCCCCCCTTCAGTATTGGAACTCTCTACCACTGAGCTATATCCCCAGCCCTTTTTATTTATTTATTTTATTAATTTGTTGTTGTTGTTGTTGTTAACAGGAATTGAACACAGGTGCTCTTAACCACTGAGCCACATCCCCAGACCTTTTTATTTTTTGTTTTGACACAGGACCTCACTAATTTGTTGAGGCTGCTTTTGAACTTGCAATTCTCCTGCCTCAGGCTATCAAACTGGTGGAATTACAGGCATGCACCTCTACACCCAGCAGTCACAGGCTTCTTATTAAATAAACATATTATTTTCACAATATGCCTATTTTATTTTCTGGTGAAAGCAGAAAATTGGTAGAAGGGATTAGATCTTTTCCATCTGGCAAGGTAGTACATATTTGTAATCCAAGATCCTCAAGAAGTTTTTAGGTAAGAGGATGGAAAATTCAAGGCCAGCATAAGCAATGTATTAAAACCCTGTCTCAAAATAAAAAGGCTGGGATGTAGCTCAGTGGTAAAGCATTTGTGTGGCATGCAGGAGAGCCCTGGGTTCAATTCCCTGTACTGCAAAAAAGAAAAGCTGGCATTAAAGTAATCTTCCCTGCTGGGGCAGTGGTACATGCCTGCCATCTCAGTTACTTGGGAGGCTGAAGCAGAAGTGTCTCAAGTTTGAGGCCAGCCTCAGCAATTTATCAAGATTCTGTTTCAAAAGGTGGGTGAGGGGCAGTGCTGGTGTTTTATACCTCAGTGGTAGGGTACTTGTGGATTCTCTCCCTAGGATTGCATTAAATAAAATAACCTTCCCTGATGATCTTTGAGAGTCTTCAAATGGGTAGGAGTAACTGTAAAGAAGACACTGGATGACAGTTGACCCTGAATAACTATCCTAATTCCTTCTAGCAAACTATTCTTACATTTTACTGAGCATTGTGGAGACATTTGGGAATGTGAATAAATATAAGTTGCTCTAGTTAAAAAAAAATAGATATTATGATGCCAGGCACCATGGCACATAACTGTAATACCAATGACTGGGGAAACTGGAGGATCACAAGTTCAAGGCCAGCCTCAGCAATTTATTGATACCCTGTCTAAAAATTAAAAAAAATAAAAAGGTCTGGGATGTGGTTTAGTGATAGAGTGTTCCTGGGTTCAAACTCAAGTACTACAAATAGATAAAAAAAAGTTTAATTTTTAAAAAATATTAGATAACATGAGAATTAAAATGCTGAACAAAATTCAGCAAGTAAATAAGTAATCAATAGTTATGGTAAATATCTGAAATGTATATAAAATAGTTTTTAAAATGCTCATTTTAAAAAAGCTCTCTAGGGCTGGGGATGTGGCTCGCCTGGCATGCGTGCAGCCCGGGTTCGATCCTCAGCACCACATACAAACAAAGATGTTGTGTCCGCCGAAAACTAAAAAATAAATATTAAAAAAAAAAGAAAACCTTCTTGCTTTATTTCTAGCCACTGAGTATGAAGAGTGAGCTCATAATATAATTCTTTCTCTCTTGATCGATTGCCAGCTCTACATTTTAGTGGTGTCATTTAAAAATAAATAAATAAATAAAATAAAAATAAAAAAGCTCTCTATACTTTCACTATTTCAAAAAATACAATGTTTTAAAATGACAACTACAGACAACACTTTTTTAATGTACAAAAGATTTCTTACAAAAGGATCTCTTGGTTTTTGTTTACAAAGCTCTGTGAGTCCTTTAAGCAGAGTTGGTGTGACATATAAATTTAAATAGTCCTTAGCAGCTTGTCCAATTGGAATGGGCTCAACAATCACTGCAAATACAAATATATTCTTGTTAAAACAAACATAAGTGATGAAATATAAGAAAGTCATTTAAAAAAATACCAGAGGGCTGGGACTGTGGCTCAGTGGTAGAGGGCTTGCTTCCTGTGTGATGCACTGGGTTTGATTCTCAGCACTGCATATCAATAAATGAATAAAATAAAATTCCATCAACAACTAAAAACTATTAAAAAAAAAAAAGGATACCTGAAACCTAGCGCGGTGGCAGACACCTATAATCCCAGCTTACTCATGAGACTTAAGGAGGAATATCACAAGTTTGAGGCCAGCCTAAGCAATTTGGGAAGACCCTATCTTTAAATATAAATGGGGAGGGGGGCTGGGATTGAGGCTCAGAGGTAGAACACTCACCTAGCATGTGTGAGGTATTGGGTTTGATCCTCAGCACCACATTAAAAAAATAAAATAAAGATATTGTGTCCACCTATAATTAGGATCACATATGTGCAACACCACACCCAGTTTTTATAAAATAAATACTGTTTTATATAAAATATAAAGTATTTTATAGTAGACAATATTATGAAAAATGTGAATAAATGTTCAAAACTAGGAGATAATTCATTCAACAAATAACAAGTACTTTACACAGTGTTACAGAAACAATAGTAAATAATACATAGTTCTTGCTCTTACAGAGTACTGAGTATACATATAAAATGTTTCCATCTATACAATTTTATTAATATTTCTACTCTTTTCAAATTTTTAAATATGTCAGCTTCAGAAATTTTTAGTCTTTTCAGTTTTATTTTCTTGTCACACTACAAGTGACAAGTCTTACAATAAATAGAATTTATAAAGAATATGTTTATATTCAGGAAACTGACAGAACATTTTAAGTTCAAGGCCAGCTTCAGCAATTTAGTGAGAACCTGTCTTAAATAAAAAGGGCTGGGGAAGTAGTTCTATGGTAAAGTACCTCTGATTCAATCCCCAGGACCTGCACCTCCCCACCCTGCCATATATATATATATAAAATAAGTAATAGTAGGTCCATTATTTTTCTTTTTTCTTTTTCCTATCTGCAAAGCTGGGGACCAAATCCAGGATATGGTGCATTCTTAAGCAAGTGCTTTTCTCCAGATACACTGAGATATATCCCCAGCCCAATGTGTTACTTTTAATAAAGATGAGAAAGTGAAGCTACTGGTCACCAGATTTTTCTTTTTGTTAAAAATATGATTGAAAACCATCCCAAAATATCAGTGCTGTTCCTTACTATGTCCTCTTCCAAGAAGCTTATAACGTCCACAGTAGAATGGAAAAAAAAAAAAAGACCCTAGAATTGTTAATTTCATAATTGCATGAGACTTTGTTAGGCAAACAGTTAACTGTTAGAGAAGATGGTAAATCAATTGTAATTTCTAAGAGAGTTCCTTTTCTTCCTTCCTTCCCCTACTTCTCATATAAAAAGTTTTATTGAAGCACTAAAGATTAGGAGAAGAGCAACCCTAAATATGTCTAGTCCAAGAGAAAGAAAGAAAAAAAAATTAAACTTTCAAAAGAGTCCCTAAAGGGCACAGTTTAGTTCTGTGGAAAATGTTGAGTTTTCGATTTGTGGCTTCAAGTTTTTGAGTAACTCCAACTTGAAAATATGACAAAACATATTGGAGAAAACTCCTGTTATCTTCCTTCCCAGCCATATCTTCAAAAGAAAAGAAAAATCAAATAAGGCGATAGAGCCGACAGATCAGTCACATGTAACTCACCTTTAGGAAACATGAAACGAATTTCTCTTTCTGCTGCAGTAAAGTCATTACTCCCATGAAGTGCATTCCTCAGGTCATCTGTGCCATAAATTGCCCTTAGACTAAAAGTAAATTAGAGTTGATGCCCATCCAATCCACACCTTTTCCTTATTTCATTTTTTTAAAATTTTTAATATTTTTTTTTTTTTTTTTAGTTTTGGGCGGACACAACATCTTTGTATGTGGTGCTGAGGATCGAACCTGGGCCGCACGCATGCCAGGCGAGCACGCTACTGCTTGAGCCACATCCCCAGCCCCTTTTCCTTATTTCATATGAATGCATTCTACTTAGAAATCTTACAGAAGCATTGCCACTTCTTACATATGTAGGCTTTGATATATTTTGAACTTCAGCTTATATCTATCTAGATAAGGGCCAAATACATTTAAATCTGCAGGAAGAATATACTGGGAAAATAGGAGTTCTCTATGTAAGAAAGAGGTGTTATTTTGTGAGAACTGAAAAAGCAATGCATACACAGCAGTGCCAGAACTCAGGGTAAGGATGTGGCTTAGTGATAGATGGTTGCCTGGCACGTGTGAGGCCCTAGGTTCAATCCCCAACAATGGGTGTGGGTTGATGGCGTTCAAGAACTCAGTGTCCTCTTGTTTTCAGACATCAGTGATAATGCTGAAAATTTGGGTTTCTTCTGAATTACCAATATTCTTTTAAAATACCATACCAATTTTCCCATGAAAAATCCTACTTCAGTGGCAGTTTAATTCAAGGATAAGAAAAGAATAAGGCTAATTAATCATAAATTATAATTTTCTGAGGCCTTTTGTAGTATTTGGTATTAAGATAGACACTGAAATAGTTAAAATAGAAAATCAAAACCCCACAGACTCCTCAAAGAAAAGCTAATTGAGGAAAACTTCTAAATAAAAGAAAACTCCCATTACAATAAAATCAGACTTTCTTTTTAAAAAATTTTTACAGATGGATTCAATTCTCCCATCCCAGGAAGATTACCTGTCTGGGTGTGTCTCCTTAGCTACTAAAGAATTACTTGGTCCCAAAAGTTCTTTCCAGTAAGTGATGGCTTTATGTCTAGCTAATATCATGGCAACAAGTGGTCCAGAACTCATGTAGGCTGTTAAATTTGGGAAAAACATTTTCCCATACTGTTCCACATAAAAGTTACTACAGTGCTCAGGGCTAAGATGTAGTTTTCTTCTCTATAAGAAAAACAAAGTCAACAAAAGCACTTAAAGTGACAGTTCAATAGTACCTTATTAAGTCATTAATAACTTGAAATTAGTACCAATTTAATTACAAACTTGGCTTATCTTTATATTATGAAGAAAGAACATGATAATTAAATGTACACTGAAATAAGATAATAAGAGGTATTATGTAACCTACTGAAGAAAAATGATTCCAGTTTGGCAACCTTCCTTGCTAATGACAAATTCATCACATTTCCTTTTTTTTTTTTTTTTTTAGTGATACTGGGGACTTAACCCAGGGGCCTTCTACCATTGAGCTACACCCCCAGCCTTTTTTATTTTATTTTAATTTTATTTTGAAACAGACTGGACTTGAATTTGTGGTAATCTTTCCTCAACCTCCAACTTGCTAAAATTACAGGCATACACAATTGCATACTGCTCCTTCCCACTTTTTTTGGTTCTTGGGATTAACTCAGGGATATTCTACCATGAAGCTACATTCCCAGCCCTTTTTATTTATTTAAACTGAGAATTTATTTATTTGGGAATTAATTAATTAAAATTGGGGGTTGAACACAGGGGCATTTTACCACTGAGCTACCAACACAGCCTTTTTTAATTTTTATTTTTAGACAGGGTCTCAAATTAAGTTGCTAAGGTTAGCCTCAAACTTGTGATCCTCCTCCCTCAGCCTCTGAGTAACTGAGATAATACATGTAAGCCCCCATCACATCTCCTTCCTAAAGTAATATTCCAATTATCAAGATGTTGTTAATGTGTACTTCATACATATTAAAGAAACAAAATTGAACTTCTGAATATTTCAAATTCATCTTTCACTATATATGTGTGATTTTTTCCATTCTTTGTTAAATTTTCCTACATTACTTGGGAAGCTGGTTTCGTTATGGTCATTAGAAATATCATGCAGAATAATGATGCAGTAAGGAACATTTTCACTTGAATGATATTATGTATTCTTTATTCTGGTTCTGACATTTCTGTTGATTTCACTGTAACCCTAAGAAAAATTAGTTGTGTTTCATTTCTCCATTTGACATAATATGAAACATTTTGGACAAATAAATGTTTTTTCCCCCAACAAATGTGAAGCTATAAGAAGGAACAATTAGGGCTGGGGATATAGCACAGTTGGTAGAGCGCTAGCCTGGCATGTACCAGGCCCTGGGTTCAATCCCCAGGACCACAAAAAAAAAAAAAAAAAAAAAGAAGGAGCAATTAAATTTTAAAAATCATGGTAGCTGGGTCAATCATTTTCCCCAATTTGAATATCACTTATTCCCTAAAAGCAGTTATTTTGAGTGCTGTTAAAAAAAAAAAACTAAATAAATCACCAACCTTGTGGAAACTCATGCCTGTAATCCCAGCAATTGGGGAGGCTGAGGCAGGAGGATCACAAGTTCAAAGCCAACTTCAGCAACTTAGTGAGGCTCTGAGCAACTTAGAGAGAACCTGTCTCAAAATTAAAAAAAAAAATTAAAAAGGGCTAGGGATGTTGCTCAGTGGTTAAGTGCTCCTGGGTTCAAATCACCAGATGAACCTGGTGTTACACACCTGTAATTCCAGCTATTCAGAAGGTTGAGGCAGGGTTTGGCAAATTTGAAATCAGCCTAGTGAATTTCCTGGGACCTTGTCTGTCTCTCTGTTTCTCTCTCTCTCTCTCTTTTTTCTTTTTGTATTAGAGATTGAACCCAGGGGTGCGTTTTACCACTGAGTTACATCCCCTTTTTATTTATTATCTTGAGACAGGGTCTCACTAAGTAGTTTAGGGCCTCGATAATTCACTGAGGCTGGCCTTGAGCTTGCAATGCTCCCAAATTAGCCTCCCAAATCTCTGGGATTACAGATGTGCACCACTGTGCCTGGCTGAGACTCTGTCTTAAAATTAAAAATGGGTTGGGAATGTGGCTCAGTGGTAGTGTCCCTAGGTTAATCTCTAGAACAGAAGGATAAAAATAGACACCAATTTATGGGGACAGTGGTCCACACATGTAGTCCCAACACTTGGGAGCCTGAGACAGAAGGAATTAGTTGGGCCCATGAGTTAAAAGGCCAGCTGGGCAACATTCTCTAAAGAAAAAAAAAAAAAAACATCAAAGAACTTCTGACTAGAGTATGGAGTAAAGATAGTAAGACATGGAGAGAAGTCACTAGGCAAAGGATAAAAATCTCCGTCATTTTTTTTTTTTAATTTAAATTTACTTTGTGTGTATATGTGTGTGTGTAGTGCTGGGGACTGAAACTTGGACTCACACATGATAAGCAAGCACTCTACCACTAAGCTACATTTTTAATTTCTATTTTTATTTTTGTAGTGCTGGGGATTGAATGCAGGTTTCACATAGGCTAGGCAAGGGCTCTGCTACATCTCTAGTCCTGCTCCACCATTTTTGTTATTTTGTTTTTGAATTTTGAGATAGGCTTTCACTAAGTGGTCCCGGATGCCTAGAACTTGCAATCTTCCTGCCTCAGCTTCCCAAATTGCTGGGATTATAGGTATGTGCCATCAAGCCCTGGCCTAACTTTATTTTTTTGTGGTGCCAGGGATCTGAACCTAGGGCCTAACACATGATAGGCAAGCCCTCTATCACTGAGCTACACCCCAAGACTAACTTTATTTTTTAACTTACAAACAGAAGAATAAACATTATACTTATTGATGGGGTACCATGTGAGATACACACATACACACACACATACACACACACACAAAATGTGTAACTGGGAGGGATAGGAGGGATACTGGGGACTGAACCCTGGGGCTCCTTTACCACTGAGCTATATCCCAGTCCTGTATTTTTTTTTTTTAAAGTTTGAGACAGGATCTCCCTAAGTTGCTGAGGCTGACTTTGAACTTGCAATCCTCCTGCTTCAGTCTCCCAAATTGCTGGAATTACAGGTGTGGTACAGGTGTGAACCCTATGCCCACCATTGGGTATTTTTTTTTTTAGGTACTGGGGATCAAACCCAGTGGGGCTGTACAACTGAATTACATCCCATTCCTTTTTGTTTTGAAACAGGGTCTCACTAAATTGTCCAGGCTGGCCTCAAAACTCTAGACTCTCCTGTTTTAGCCTTCTGAGTAGCTGGAATTACAGGCTTGTACTACCACACTTGGCACATTGTATAATGTTTAGATCAGGTTAAACATATCCATCTCCCCAAACATTATCATTTCTTTATGGAGAAAACATTAAAACTCCTTTCTTCTAGCTTTTTGAAATATATAGTCCATTATCATACTGTGCAATACCATGCCAGAACATCTTATCCAATCTAATTAAAGTTCAGTACCTATAGATCAACTTCTCTTCATCACTCCAACCCTCCCCCATTCTCTTGTGTGTGGTAAAAAGTTTTATTTTAAATATTAAAAGAGTCCAATCTGATGAATTTCTAAACCTAAACTAGTGTAAAAATTCTTGGCCTACTTGGGCATGGCGGTATGCCTGTAATACTAGCAACTCAGGAGGCTGGAGCTGGAGGATTGGAAGTTAGAGGCCAGCTTCAGCAAACTAGCAAGACCCTATTTCAAAATCAAGGGGGAAAAAAAGCAGGGGGGTGCTGCGGATGTAGCTCAGTGATAAAGCATCCCTGGGTTCAATCCCTAGTACCAAAAAAAAAAAAAAAAAAAAGCTAGGGGATGTGGCTCAATGGTTAAGCACCCCAGATCCAAGTCTTGGTTCCTAAATAAATAAATAAATGGCCAGGTATGGTGGCCGGCACCTGTAACTCTAGTGGCTCAGAAGGCTGAGGCAGGACAAACACAAGTTCAAATCCAGCCTCAGCAATTTAGTGAGGCCCTGTCTCAAAATAAAATAGGAGCCAGGCACAGTGGCGCATGCCTGAAATCCCAGTGACTAGGGAGGTTGAGACAGGATATTTGTGAATTCAAAGCCAGCCTTAGCAATTTAGTGAGGCCCTAAGCAACTCAATGAGACCCTGTCTCTAAATAAAATATAAAAAGGGGCTAGGGATGTGGTTCAGTGGTTAAGCACCCCTGGATTCAATTCCTGGTACCTAAATAAATAAATAAGGCTGGCATTTTGGCTCAATAGTTGAGCACCTCTATGTTCAATAATAATAATCATCATCATAATAAAGGTAAATTAAATTCAGCTGGTTATGGTGGCATACCTGCAATCTTAGAGGCTCAAGAGTCTGAGATATGAGTATCCCAAGTTCAAGCCTCGCCTGCTCAATTTAGCAAGACTCTCAGCAACTTAGAGAGATACTGTCTCAAAACAGAAAATAAAGAATTGGATGTAACTCAATGACAAAGTGCTCCGGGTTCAATCCCTAGTACCAATAGATAAAAAATAAAGGGCTGAGTGTGGTGGGGCACCCTGTAATCCTAGCAGCTCAGGAGGCTGAGGCAGGAGGACTGAAAATTTAAGTCAGCAATTTAGCAAGACCCAGTCTCAAAATAAAACATAAAAAGGGCTGAGGATGTGATTCAGTGGTTAAGGGACCCTGGGTTCAATCTCTGGTAACACACACACACACACACACACACAGAGTTACACTCATTCATGCCCAACAAAGACCACTAATTTGCATAAGAACCATATATAGTATCATGTCTCAATTTTAAATAATAGTATCAAGGATTAGCTAAATCAAGTGCTTTTGAAACTTCTCACTTCCTTATTAACAACTGTAAATAAGACATTCTTTAATCTATATATTTTGACTAATTTTAGCCTTCAAAGAAGGTTTTGACGAGTTTTTCAAACCTGTAATACCAGAGACTTGGGAGGCTGAGGCAGGATGATAGTTCAAAGCCAGCTCAACAATTTAGCAAGCCCCTGAGCAACGCAGCAAAATCCTTTCTCAAAATAAAACATAAGGGGTTGGGTTTGTAGCTCAGTGGTAAAGCGTTTGCCTAGCACATAGTTTGATCCCAGCGCCACATAAAAATAAATAAAATAAAGTTATATGTCCATCTACAACTAAAAATATTAATAAAAAAATAAATAAAACAT